GTATTTCTTTCACAGTAAACATATTATATTGTAAGGATAACCTCATTATATGGTATTTCTTTCACAGTAAACATATTATATTGTAAGGATAACCTCATTATATGGTATTTCTTTCACTTCATCAGATTTTGCTACTTTTTTTTAATACGATGGATAACGATTATTTAGTTTACACAAATCCATAGAAAAGTTTCTTCTGATCTCGTGCTGCTATATTGAGTTTTTTCACTCAATATTGTAATCCGGTGTTCCTCTGTTGACTTTTTCCCTGAATCTTTTAATTTGGTATTTCTATATTGAGTTTTTGACTCAATATTTTGATTGGTGTTCCTCTGTTGACTTTGATACTTCTATATTGATAGATAGTGCAAGTCAGTCCATGAATGTTAAATATTTCTACTAATCAACGTAGTAATGGACGCTCCTTCGAAAGAAGAAACGTCATTCGAACGTAATACTACGTTACATGTAGCACATCACATTTCGAATGTTAGTTGCGTTAAACTAACCTCACACATCCTACACACCACACACACATATATATAGATAGTGAACATTTCTTTTTAATGTCTATTAATACAACTCATATTAAAAACATATAAAATGAATTAAGAAGCGTCAAGGTCAGTTTTGTTATCATCATCAGCCATGTGTATCGTTCCTTGTTGATTCAGAGAAATGCTCCCGCTGAGCCACTTTGGTTTGAAAATTCCCTAGAAAATAGGGTTAAATAGATATATATTTGTCAGAAAAAGGGACTAAATATATTTCTATGTGTCTTATTCTATTATAACTATATTGAATTTCGTTTTCCAGTTAAAATATTTGACTAATTAAACAGTATACACTGTTAAAATATTTTACTAATTAAACAGTATTCACAGTTAAAATATTTTACTAATTAAACAGTATACACTGTTAAAATATTTTACTAATTAAACAGTATTCACGGTTAAAATATTTTCCTAATTAAACAGTATTCACGGTTAAAATATTTTACTAATTAAATAGTATACACTGTTAAAATATTTTTCTAATTAAACAGTATTCACAGGTAAAATATTTTGCTAATTAAACAGTATTCACGGTTAAAATATTTTACTAATTAAACAGTATTCACGGTTAAAATATTTTACTAATTAAACAGTATACACAGAAATATTAAAGAACGTCTAGTCATACAGTTTTCTCTGATAGGATATCTTAGACAAAAACACATCAAATAAATGTAATTTAATTTTTATCACTTACCTATTCATGAACCAAATTGTTGAATCTTTACTCAATTACGTATTTAAATTAACGTTCCATTATCCAAAGACCTTAACCTTGAACCAAATAATTGTACTTCAATATCAATCAACCAGTGACTTTTGAATACTTCTTATAGTTAGCAAACTGAAGAGCGTGGATTTTTAGAAAAGATCACAGTTTAAGAAAACAAAAGTTTGAATTTACGTGTTCTTAAAGTTGACTTCTTTACCTCGTTTTCAAGTAATTGTGTAAACTGATATTTCTCGAATAACAAAAGAACTAGGCCATAGTGCTTAACACTTTTTAAATACCCTAAAGACTCTCTATTCTTAAAACTTTACTTACCTAGTTATACCGATGACTGCTCAGACTCCAGTGTTTTGTGTATATATATTCTTTCGTACTCTGAACTCAAGAAAATTCCTAAAACTGCCTCTGCACGTTTAACTGAAACATTCAAATGAAACTAGCTTTGAGGTTATGTTTTTTTTCAAACTTACACGTATTCATATGAAATATAAAGCGTTTAAAGATTTTTGAAAAATGTCCAAGTCTTATAAATAGAAGGTTAGGAGATCTATAGACGACATTTACTAGACTCTATTTAACTAACTGAACAAGAATCGTAAAAATAGGAAAATGTTCTGTTTTATGTGATTCTGTTACAGTTTATTTAACATGGTTAGCTTATATCAAATTACATTGTCGTACAAACGCAAAGAAATTAGTAAAAGCTGAAACAAAGCGGTTAATGGCAAATGGAAACAGACTTAAAGTATAGCAGAAAGAGAAAAATCCGGTATGTACGAAAAACAAAAATTCACGTTGTACAAAATATCACTTTATCTTCTTCGAAGGATACTGTTCCTATCAAAACACTTAAAAAATATTTGTTTTAAAATGGCATTAATGCCGATACTTGATGTATTGAACATAAAGGTATGCGATGTAAGGTAATTTAGGTTATCAATAAAGCATGATGAATACTGTAAAGCTGAATTGTAGTTTAACATGAGATTGTAAGTTGTAAGTTTAGTATCCTACATAGAGATATGTCAAGTCTGTTAACTATATGTCTAAAACAAATGTAATAAACCATAGAGATTTGTCAAGTCTGTTAACTATATGTCTAAAACAAATGTAAGAAACCATAGAGATTTGTCAAGTCTGTTAACTATATGTCTAAAACAAATGTAAGAAACCATAGAGATTTGTCAAGTCTGTTAAGTATAAGTCTAAAACGAGTGTACGAAACCATAGAGATTTGTCAAGTCTGTTAACTATATGTATAAAACAAATGTAAGAAACCATAGAGATTTGTCAAGTCTGTTAACTATATGTATAAA